TAAGAGAGGAAAAAAGAAGGGCTAAAATGTTGCAGGAACAACGTTTCAATCTCACCTTCACAGCCCGAGCTAGAGTGTGAGTACATTCAGTATTTTCCATTGTATTTATACCTAAAATGTTGGAAATTTGAAATGGATGATGATAAAAGTGTGAATACAGAGAGTGGTTCTGATGGAGGCAGCCAGCCCATAAACACATGGTGGCTGCTGATGCCTTTAATCAGAACTGAATTTAACCAGACCTCTTTCAGAGTCAGTCTCGCAATCATAAGCTCCCATTAGACTCCACCGGTGTGTACGTGTGAAGGGTGCGCCACATTAAGAACCCAGATAGTGTTTGGGAGTGGAATTGGATGCTAAAATCCTCAAAAATCATTTTACGCTGCTCTAAATGCATCACAAACAGGTGGTGGAAAGTAATGAGAAATAATGTGGAGCAAATATTTCTCCTCTAATGACTAGAAGCTCAAATTGTGTTTCCAAAAAACAAAAGTAACAGAAACAAATAAACTAAAACCAAAATGTGAATTTAATCAGATCAAAAAACAAACTAGTTCAGATGAAAAAAACAAAACAACCAAAAACTGAATATACAGTATTGGTGTTCTTTTCATAAGCATTATATTCTTTACTACTCAGAATTTACGTTGCAACAAAATGATCACAAATATATGATGAAGCTATTAGTTTCACAAGATAATAAATAATATTAATAATAAATGGTAAGACTGAATCCTACTGTTTCTTGCAGAAGCTCATATTGCCCACTGCCTTTCACATACTATAATGCTGATAAAACATAAAGTTGTGTTTTTGGTTAAATATTTAAAAGAACATTATGCACAGTCTCATGCAATTTCTCAAGAAGTTATGTTCAGAGCATGTGCTGTTCATTACACTCAGGTACTAACACAGACACTTAGCTCAGTATCTGTAAAACTGACTGGATTACAGTAGTTCCTCCATTATCGTGGGGGTTACGTTCCAAACACCACCGTGACAGGTGGAAAACTGCAAAGTAGGAGCGCTATATTTATTTTAGTATTTATATATATTTTAAGGCATTATAAAATAAAAATAAAATAAAATAATAAAAAATTATATATATATATATATATATATATATATATATATATATATATATATAAAGGCTTTATAAACCCTTCCCACCCTCTTGCAATGTTCTAAACTCTTAAACCTACGTAATTTTAACAACATATGTATATGTACTGTACAGTACTGCAAACTTTTACTCACCAGCTCTGCAGAACAGCAGTTTGGTTCCGGTCGGACTCGGTTCTGGTTCTGCAGACCTACCCTGCAGAGACGAAGCACACCACCCCGTCCAGGTTGATGTGCGTGTGGATAATTGAGCTTCAGGATAATTAGCGACTTTCCTGCCAGTTCTGTGAGCTTCATAGATCGATCGTTACTTCTGACTTTGTGTTGCAAAACTTTCCTTCCATTTCATAAGGAAGCAGTGGCCGGAAGCACTGTTGGCTTCTGGGTGGTGTAGTTTTTTTGACTGGCGTTGCAGTATAGGCTTGTTGAAAGAAAACTAGAAAATGGCGGCGCCTGGCAAAAGTTTTTTTCGTTAACTTTTCATCTCGTACCGTCCCATTCACGTGAGTAATATTAAAGTTGGCAATCGTTGCAAACCCACAAAAGAGCAAAAGTCAAACCGTGAAGTAGTGAGTGACTACTGGATAGCCATTTTTGTGTTTTCTTCATTTTTACGTGTCAAGGTAATGTGTATTACTCATCATGCTCCGTACTTTTTTGTTCATTCTTTTCTGATATTTTACTGTACTGCGACGTGAATGAATGAGGAAGTGTTCCGTGTAATAATCACTCCTAATGTGACCTGTCAGTGAGGAACTGAAAGAACTAGTTATATTAGCCTCAAGGTTTGATTGATATGATATGGATATGATACAACTGATGATATGATATGGATATGATACAAATGATGTGATACAGTGACATGTCTTAGGGAGTCCTTGAGGGCTGCAGCTGACTCAGATTCCTCCTCTCCTGGCTGCAGCTGGGGTTATGATAACAGATGGAGAGGGAGGGAGGGGCTGACGGCTGGCGCTGGAGTGATTCTACAAAACTTTTTCAGTTCAGAAAGTCAGAACTGTCAGCGCTGCAGACAGGTGAAGACATTGATAAGTGTGATCTTGTGACTGCACTGATCTTCTGTGAATGCTGCCTGCTCTCCAAAGCTTTACAATAAATCTGATGAACTACACTGTGGTTTATCCTGATGCATGCTCAACAATCCAGGTAGAAAAATCTAAAAAAAGTTAAATCTGATCCTCTGGACATTCAAAAAACAAAACAAAGCAAAAAAAAAAAGAAAAAAAAAGGCAGAAACGTTTCGTCTTTCATCCGAAAGACTTCTTCAGTCTGAGGACGTCTTTCGGATGAAAGACGAAACGTTTCTGCCTTTTTATTTTTGCTTTGTTTTGTTTTTTGAATGTCCAGAGGACCATATTTAACTTTTTTAGATACACCGTGGTTTGTTTTGGAATTCTCCATTTTTGTTCCATGACAGTGTCAGAATGAGTGTTGTCTTGGTGTTTAGTTTGTTTTTAAGTTATTTTAATGTTTGTTTCTTATGATATTTAGTTTTATTTGTGTTATCTTTGTGTTCATTTTGTTCTTTATCACCCCGAGTTGCCAGTCACTGTCTGTTCCAGCTCCACCCACTCTCACCTGTTGCCAGTCTCACTAGCCCAGGTGTCTCCACTTCCTCATCAGTCCACTGTCTATCTATCCTGTCACTTTTCATTCATTTGATTCATTCATATCCACTAATTGTCTTTAATTACTTGTTAACTAATTGAATTGTTAATGTCTTTTATTCCCCACATTAAAAACGTTACTAGAACCACCTATTTCCACCTGCGTAATATCACTAAAATTAGAAACATCTTATCTAAAAATGAGTGTTAACTGGAGTTAGTGGGAGAGCTTATATCTCTCCAGTTTTAGCTTCTCTCCATTGGCTCCCTGTCAAGTCCAGAATTGAATTCAAAATCTTACTTCTAACCTACAAAGCTCTCAACAACCTGGCTCCATCTCATATTACATATCTTATTGTTCCATATTTTTCTAATAGAGCACTTCGCTCTCAGACTGAAGGCTTACTTGTGGTTCCTAGAGTTTCCAAAAGCAGAATGGGAGGAAGATCTTTCAGTTATCAGGCTCCTCTCTTGTGGAACCAACTTCCAGTTTCTGTCCGTGACGCTGACACATTGTCCAGTTTTAAGACTTTCCTTTTTGTTGAATCCTATAGTTAGGTGTGGCTTGTTAGGCTGCCATAGGCTTAGACTACTAGAGGACAAATTGACCTCATTTCCTTAAATCAATTGTTACAATTGAATAGTTTTCATTATATACTATTTCTACCTTAACATGTGATTCTTGACCTGCTATTGTGTATCTGTTCCTCTCAAACCCAGCCGGTAGAAGCAGATGGACACTTGTCCTGAGCCTGGTTCTGCTAAAGGTTTCTTCCTCATGAGGGAGTTTTTTCTTTCCACCTTCATGTTTGCTCAAGATGAGAGTTCAGTCATGGAGTTAAACTCAAAGCGTCTGCTCCTCAGATAAATAATGTTAAATTAATATTTTTATATAAATGAATGTTTCTGTTCAGTGCCCTGAGACGACTTCTGTTGTGACTTGGTGCTATATAAATAAACTGAATTGAATTAAAC